GTGCCATCCAGGGGCAGAGAACACTCTGTTTCCCCTCTCCCTCACTTGCTGTGTGTTGGGCTTGTTTTGATGCCGATGTGAAAGGAAAACAACAGACTCATGGATCACTATCTTCATACACCCTTCACTTCAGAGCCACATGCACTTCAGTGTCTGATCTTTGCTTTTTCCACAGAAGGAAGAGTGGGGGCCAAGGTGAAGAGGTTCTTGTCACCCTCTATGCTTCTGTCATTGTGCTTCTACAGAGTACCTAGGCTCTTTCTGGCATGAATCATTGTACATAGTGGCTGTGTCTAGACTGGCCAGTTTTTCCGGAAAATCAACCGCTTTTCCGGAAAAACTTGCCAGCTGTCTACACTGGCTGTTTGAATTTCCGCAAAAGAACTGACTTCCTACTGTAAGAAATCAGTGCTTTTTTTGGAAATACTATGCTGCTCCCATTCGGGCAAAAGTCTTGCGCAAAAGGGCCAGTGTAGACAACTGAGATTTGTTTTCCGCAAAAAAGCCCTGATCGCAAAAATGGCAATTGGGGCTTTCTTGCGCAAAAGTGCATCTAGATTGGCCACGGATGCTTTTCCGCAAAAAGTGCTTTTGCGGAAAAGCGTCCGTGCCAATCTAGATGCTCTGTTCCGAAAATGCTTTTAACGGAAAACTTTTCCGTTAAAAGCATTTCCGGAAAATCATGCCGGTCTAGACACAGCCAGTGTGTCCAGTGAAAGCAGTTGTGTTGTACCCTGAAGCTTTACTGAGCGAAATGAGATGACCTGATACAAGTGACAGGTGGCTGCTGAATATCACACTGATGGTTTTCTGCTCACATGTAATCTACCCTAATGCCTAATGTTGCTTTAAAGCCCTCTGCTAAAGCATGAGATAATCAAACTGAGTTACAGCAGTATGAAATGAAGACAGAAATTTCTGAACAGTTAAGGGTGTTCTAAGTTGCACACACAGCAGTGGGGTTAGGGTGGCTGCAAAGGATGTTATTTAAGATTTTATTGCGTACATTCCTTATTGCTTGTGAGATATCTAGATTAGAAAAAATGAAAACTATTATCCCGATGTGACACACACTGCTGCAATAAATCAATATAGCAAAGCAGAAAACAAGCTATTATAATTCATAATTTGGCAAGTTTGGTGTTTCTATTTTATTTACATGATATAAATGTATTACACTTCAACCCCATTATTTCTTTTCTCCAAGTAGATTCTGGTTCTTTAGCTAAAGAAGTTACATTTGTTAAATAGGTCTTGATAGTGAACAAAGGTGATTTCTTTCAAGAGAAATCTGCCATTTTCATCTTTAAATATACTTTTTAGGGCTAGTTGTGGATGGGTGGTTACAAAGTGTTGCTGCTTTATGCTGTTTTGTGGTTAACAATTGGTGTGCCATTCAGGACAAATCTGGGGATACAATGAAGTCTGGGATCATTAGAGTTACTGATATGATGCAAGTATTTTATGAGTGTTAAATGTATTTGTAATGGTTGTTATACTGCACTCACTAAAAAGAAATTTGAATGACTAATAATGAATATGGCTGGTCACGTTGTTTTATTTGCCTCCTGGTGTCTGAATATTCAGTATCCCAAAGGGCCACACGTTACAGTTTTTCTCTAAACCCCCATGAGGGTAGAAACCTTTCTTTAAAATGATGAAACTCTCATCAGTGCAGGAGCTGGAACTTCAAGAATAATAGGAAATATGAGAGGACTTATAATAAATCCCGAGAGATGACCATTCTGCATTTGGCTCCCTTTATTGCCAAGGCACCAAAGCCACAGGCTGTCTGCAGTATGGGCACTATACCTACTCTACCAGGGCAAATGGAAATGAGGTTTTGTCCCAAATTGATGATCCTACCAACTATTGCTTCTACTAGGAACAAAACAGGTCAACCTCAGGATAGTCACTCAGTAAGGAATATCCATACAGAAGTGTTGAAGGCACATTAAAGATGATTTGAAAACAAAAACACCTTTCTTATGATTTTACTGCAGGAAATGAAATTACCAAATTAAATCAACTCTTTGTGTAGCCAATGAACAATTCCAATATGGATTTATTTACAAGTTAAAAGCTGCTCATTTTATTTCTAACCTTCATTTGATAAGCTAAAGACAGAATATTACAAAATCAGTTGGCAAGTGTAAAATTATTATAGCACTTAGAACTTGGAATTTTTCCATTCAGGACCATGATGTGTTTTTTACATACATTTCCCAACATCATCTCTTAACTGGAGACTGAAAATGGAAATGTGTGTGTGCGCGTGTGTGTGTGTGAGAGAGAGAGACAGAGAGAGAGAGAGAGAATGGGGAGGGAGGAGGAGAGATTTCATTTTCAATTTCAATAACTTTTTGACATGAAAAAATGTTGTCAGTAAGGCATCAGGCACTAGGTTTTACACAGGATACAGTAACATATTTCCCCTCCTTCACTTGTCAAGATGCAATTGGGGGCGGGGGTCAGAGAGTTGTTGAGGGAATGGTAAATGAAAGCGAAAATGTCCATGGGTGTGGTGCAGCTGAGCACTGGTGTACAACAGCTCTGGTGCAGTTAAGAATTATTAGCTTTAAAGTCAGTGTGCTCTCACCTCTGTCATACAGGTATCTCTGATGCCACACTATCTATTTTACATTATAGTCCCATTCTGATTGTTACACATACATAATACAGAAGTTCCTGTGACTCTTTTGTTCATCTCAAAGACATTGTGACCTACTTTGAATTAAAAATGTGACCTTGTACATCTGAACTACTTTTAGAGTCCAATCCTATATGCACGGCTACCAAAGAAAGGAGTCTAATTGATTTCAATGGGCCCAGGATAAAGCCTTCAATGAAGAACTATCCCTTGCACTGTGGTGAGTGCCCAATGCTTAGTACTCCGATATGTGCAGAGTAAAATAATTGCCACGTAGTCTGTGTGCATTGACTGCCCATCTATGGCACCTGCTCTACGATTGACTGTTGTGTGCAGGGAGGATGTGATGAGGACATTGTGGATGCACACTGAACCCCTCATTTTTGTCCTTACTCTAGAGCCTAAGGAGGTCCATAAAATCCATTAATTCCAGAACTCCAGCAAATTAAATCTATGGGAAGACCTGAATCCCAGTCCTCCCTGTCCCTTCCCCTCACCCCATGGGGCTGGAGCACCAGGAAAGTGAGGTGTTGGAGGTTACATCAGTAATGGTTGGAAGTTTGGGGAGTTTTTTGCTTGTGTGGTCCCCAACTGATTTTTCTATAGTTCAATGACCCCCCAACTCAAAAAAGTTTCCCCACCTCTGCCATAAAAATATTGAAACCTTTTGTGTTGTACATAAATTAATATTTTATTTAAAATGAAGTTTGATAAACTAACATAAGAAAGTTAAAATGATGAATCTGTTAAATAATTTAAATCAAGCCATTCTCCCAAGCTGCAGCACTAGCCAAATGTCTTGGGTGTAATTATGTAATTAACAGTGAGTTAAGTAGCAAGTGGTGGTCCACAGAAAGGGTTGCATTGGGCCAGGTAGTCGACATGCCAAAAAGTTTGAGAACCACTGGTCTAGATGATTGCAAATTGATTGTTTAATTATTTGCTCCATTATGTTTCAGGGTACAGAAATTAACCTGACTAGTCTGTAATTCTCTGGGTTGTCCTTATTTCTCTTTTAATAGATGGACATTGTATTTTCCACCACTTTTCAAAGATTATCACTAATGGTTCACATATCAGCTCAATCAACTGCTTCAGTATAACAGGATGCATTAATCAGCCTTGGTTACTTCAAGACATCTAATCTGACCAAAATTTTTAAAAAAATAGCAAGCAAATTGTCTGGTAGCACTTTATAGACTAAAAAAACATGTAGATGGTATCATGAGCTTTCGTGGGCACAGCCCACTTCTTCAGATAACCGGAGAGAAAAAAAAGGGAGAGAAAGAGAAAGAGAAAGGGAAAGGATGCATTAATCAGCCTTGGTTACTTCAAGACATCTAATCTGACCAAAATTTTTAAAAAAATAGCAAGCAAATTGTCTGGTAGCACTTTATAGACTAAAAAAACATGTAGATGGTATCATGAGCTTTCGTGGGCACAGCCCACTTCTTCAGATAACCGGAGAGAAAAAAAAGGGAGAGAAAGAGAAAGAGAAAGGGAAAGA